TGTTTTTCTTTCCCATTTATTGAAAAAACCTCCTGGATTGGGTGTGTTGAGGGTGGAATGTGGATCCTCGCTGCTGATGTCTCAGTCCCCGTGGAGCYGTGGTTCTGCAGAGGGTTCTGCCCTTGGAAACGAGCCCTGCTGCAGGTTTTTGCCCCTTGGGTGGTTTTCCAGCACCAATACCTGGTGTGTTTTCCTTGGAGAGGCCCATCCTCCCTCCTCATCCGGTGGCAAAAAGCAGAATTCCCTCACTCTGCTCTCTGCTCTGCCTCCCTGGAGGGCTTTGCTCGCCTCTCTCGCCAGCCTGCTGGGACTTTGTGCCTTCTTTCACTCCAAAACTCTTGTTTTTTCGAGAAGTGCCTCCCAAACACGGGATTTTCCAGCTGTTCCTGGCACGAGGTCCCGGGAGGAGCTGCCTGAACAGTGACAGCCACCTCAGCAGGCATCAAACTGTCTCAAACGTGGGACAGCGATGAGCTGGGTGCCCTGGAACGCCTGCAAGGACTGGGAGCAGGGATGGAGACACTCAGAAACACTCGGGAATCCTCTCCCTCCCCATTCCCAGCACGTGCACTGCTGGGCAAACTGGAGCTGACCCCGCGGGCAGAGCCCCCAGCCCTGCCAGGGAAGAGCAAACAGGAGCCTCTTGCACCCAAAGCAAACACGACAGTTCCCAGGGATTTTTTTCAAAGGGTTCTCTGGATGATTTTCTTCATCTCCACTGGCATTGGAGCAGCCCTTAAACTTACATCCCTATAAAATGTTCCTTTTTGTGCTTTTTTCTCTTCCCCAGCAGAAATTTTGCTTATTTCTGTTACCAAAACTATTAAAGTTAAAAGGGACAGCCTTGGAAAGAGAAGGCAAAAACGGTCTCCGGGACATAAAAGTGATCCAGGGAGGAAAGGGAAGAGAACGAGCCACTCCTTGGGATTTCTGAAGGCACAATTTGGGGTGGGGCAGCCGAAAACAAAGACAGCACATGGCTTTTGGGGGGACACCAATACTTCTCATGATCATCACTTCAAACACTTCATCAGAGCCCTAAAATCGTGGGGGGTGAGAGAGCAGGACCCCCCAGCCCAGAGGAGGGGACAAAATCTGGTGTTGGGTGTTTGGGGAGGAGAAGAGAGCAAAGGGAGCCCCGTGGCTCTGCGGAGCCCTGTGCTGTTTACTGTGCTCTGTGGTTGGATTACACCACGTACAGTAATTCTCCTCGCACTGCCAGTAATTTCACTGACTTACCAAGCAGGCATCATTTCCTGAAAGTCAGCCCTGGACTTAGAGGAAGTAAGAGCCCTCTGGTCGTGACTAAACAGTCTATGCAAATCTCCCRGCTCAGGACGGCGGTTTTGCCGGGCCCTGAGTCTCCATTTTCCCTCTCCTGGCTGCTGAATGTTGGATTTTAGAGCCCCCCGATGAGCCCCGGCCGTGAATGGACCTTTCTCCACTTGGCACTGAGCACCCTCCCCCTGCTGCTGCCTCCCGCGCTGACAGCCCCCCGAATGCTGCTCTAAAATGTCCCAAATGCACTTCTGGCTAAAGTTTCCATCTCTYTACAAGGTAAAGCCTGATTTTTTGCTGGGTTTTTCCTTTTCCTCTGTGGAATTGTTCGTGTTTTTGGTCACCAGGGCAGCTGCTCTGCAGTGGCTGCAGAGTTTTGGGAGTGATGTTTCTCCACGCTGGGTACTGGGAATAGATTTTTGGTCCCAAATATGTGATTTCTGTTTTTTTGGAACTCGTGTTCCTTGTGTGCTGTTCTGTCACTCAGAATTTGGTCTCTGACTGTGGATTTTGGAGCTGTGTGAGGATTGATCTGTGTGTTTGGCTTTGAGGGGTTTTATTTCCAAAGTTGATGCAGGGTGCAAGAAGCGAGGGAAACACCTTCCACCCTCCACACTGCCWGTTTATTGCCCCAAATTTAGAAAGATTTTGGGCTTTGGCAGCTGAAAAATTCTATAGCAATCGTCTGCAGCTGCTGATTCGGTCACTCCTGGATAATACTTTGCTTAATCTGTGACTTTTGAGGTGCCAAATCTCTYCTGGCTGGCAGTGTGGCTGTGGTTGTGGGTGTGTTTTTGGGTGTATAGATAGAGTTTTGGGTTTTTAATAAAACCCCCTCTTTGCTTGAGTGCTCTGCAGCTCAGTCATCCAGAGCTGCTCTGCAGACAGTTTCTTCAGTGTCTGGATTGTGAGAAAATAAACCATTTCTATTGATGGCTTGCTGGAAAAAAAAATATTTTTAGGATGCTTGTTCCGTCTGTATTTAGACTTCACCTGTTCTTTCATTATTTTTAACACTTTGTTTTGACTGGGCTGTTCCCAGGGGCTTGGAGAAAGATTGAGTGTCTGGGCTGGTTTACCCTGATTTTTTCTTGRTCTTTTTTAGGGAGATAATTGTTTGATAATCTCAATTTTGGGATAATGGCAGGAGTACTGTGTGTTACAGCAGCATCAGGCTGTTCTCTGCTCTGAGACACAGCTGCAGCTTTGCCTCCAGCTCTGGGTCCTTGGCCCAGGAGGGGCCAGTCCAGGGGATGCCACAGAGATGCTGAATTCCAGGAATAAGATTTATGTGAAGAACACTTGCAGAAAAGTATCTGAAATAAAGATTCTGTCTGTCAGGACAACTTCCATCTGCTGCAGAAATCCAACTTCCACTGAAACAGAAGTGATGGTCTTGTAGACCCTGATGTTTCCAATGAGAAAAACTTAAAATTCTGATTAATCTGTCTGAAACAGGGACAGAATGACACGTTCCAAACCGCAGTGCCTGAGCTGATCCTGACCATGAGCTCTTGGTTGAGGTGATGGTCCTTCCTTTTCCCTGAGGTCACCCAGGCAGCTGCTCCCATTTGCAGCAGATAAACCAGGCATGGTTTGTACTGGTTGTGGTTATCTGTGACCTTGTGTTGAACAATTACCCTGGGTCTGATAAATTTACTGAGCTGCTGGTGGTGGTGGTGGAAGTTCTTGGGGTGGGGAATCCAGCAGGTGATTAACTCCAGATAACGCAATTAGTTAAGACAAATGAGAGACTCTGGAAGTTGGTGACTAATGCCTGGCARTGCTGGCAGAGGATGGGATGGCTGCATCACTTCCAGGAGGAGCATTGTCCTCTCTCTGCCTTGGGGGCTGGTTTCCTCTCCCCAGTTCAGCCCAGTGCTGGGGCTGGGCTCTTCCCTGAMGTTCTGGGGTTGTGTCATGAGGTTTTCCCATATCCCATTGTTATTCCAGCCCTGCCCCTATTGTTGGGACCCCGCTCCCCTGCCCTAACACGGGTGTGCAGATGTTTCTTTCCTCCTGCCCCAGCCACAGCCAGACCCASTCAAGTGTTTTTCTCCTTTCTCAAGTCCAGAGATCCCTTAATTCCRAGGTGATAAATCCGGCTGCCTCTTYAGTCTCTGGATGCTCTGATTTCTGGGTAATCCTAAAATAGCCACAGAAATATCAACACCAAGAGCTGCCCAGGAAGTGCTGCCCTTGCTCCCCGAGTCTTTGGGTCCTCCAGTTGGATATTGAGGAATCCAAACCCCCCACATCACACCTGCCATTGCTGGAGTGCTTCCAGCACCCGCACTGATGGCTCCATCACTGCCCAAAGGAGACATCCCTGGGAAGAAGGGGAAGGGAACGTGTCTCAGTGATTTAAACACTACAAACCCTTAACTTTTCATAGCAATCAGGGGGGTTTGACCCAGCTCTTGGCCTGAAGCCCTTGGGAACAGCACGGCGAGGCTCAGCTGCTCRTGGGTTTATGTCAGGCAGGGCTAAGTGACTTTTAAGAGTCTTTGGCTGCCTTTCTGCCTCTAGTGGGAAATTGGCCCTTTACTGGAAGTGAGCAGCGATTCCTCCTGTAGCAGCCATGGCTCTGCTGGCAGCAGAATGGTGGGTGACCCTGGTGCTCTGTGCTGAGGAACCACAGACCCACCTTGTGTTGGCAGAGCCTGTGGGGCCACCACGACTGATCCAAATTGTCCTTCAGCCCTTCCCTYGGGGACAGATGCTCAGCTCTGGCTGGATCTGACTGCTGGAGTTTGGTGCTGGAAGTTGCTCTTAATTAACAGCAAAGTTTCTCTGCTTTGGCAAAGTTTGAAAATGCTGTTTGGTGTAGKAGGAGGGCTGWSRTGATGGGATGGAGCTGGGGAAAGGGTAGGGATCAGTGCTGCAGCGAAGGGTGTAGAGCAAGGGCTCATTGGCTTTTGGTTCTTGCCACTTGAAATGGGGAAACCAGACTGGGGATTGATGGCTTTTTCTGAGCCAGACTCTTTGTRGCTCAAATCAACAGCATCACTGGGCTGGCACCAAATAAAACAGTTGCAAACCATCCAGCCCAGTCACCAGAAAAAGAGCAAGGGCAGAGCTGGTCCCTGTTGCTGAAACACAATCCTTGTCTGTGTTGGGGCTGGMCTTTGGAAAGAGGACTGGCAGATCTGCCTGGATTTACCGAGATGCAAATCCAGGTGACACCAGCACTCCTTCCCCTGTGTGTGCAGAACCTGCCAGGAGGAGAGGAATGTTTCCTGCAGGCTCCAGGTAACGCTGTGCTGGAAATAACCATGAAACAGGCACGTTGTGATCGGGTGTAGCTCAGTCTGTGTGGGCCTCTGCACATGAATGAGATYTCGGAGTTCTTTGTGATCAGGCTGAAGCTTTGCACCCCTCAGCAGCATTTCTAATCAAACACAGAGCGCAGCTGAGCAATACCTTGTTGGATGTTCCTCTCCATCCAGCTCCGTGTGCAGGGATGTGCACAGCCCGAGTCAGCCTTGACAGTGTTACCCACACTCCCAGCCAGGGCTTTTCCTGCTTTTTTCAAGAAGCAGATTTTCAAACAGCGCCTCRGAGCGTGTCCTCAGTTCCAGGGTAATTTCTGAGATTTGTGGAGCGCGAAATAACGGAGCCGCTCGTTGCACAGCGAGGAATTAGAACTTGCTGGCTGAGCAAGAAATGAGCTCTCTGCTCTCATCCCACCTCCTCCAACCATGGCCATGTCTCTGTTCCAGGATTCTTCTTACCTCGATGAGCTCTCCAACAACCCCCTCTTCCGCTCCCCCTCGGATTCCCTCTCCAACATCGTGGATCCCAAGGATTTCCTGACCGCTGACAGCCTGAACCACGTGCCAACACTATGGGATGTGGACACGTCGCAGCAGAACCAGAATGAGGTAGGGGCTGCTCTTTTCCCATCCTCCCAGCAGACAGGAGGTACCTCAGAATTCATTCCACAAGGGTTTCACCAAGGAATTGAGAAACCAGCTCAGCTCCTTTAGGTGGAGTTTGAGGTGTGGTGATGTTATTCCACTGTTACCACCTTCAGTGGAGGAGGGAATGGGTGAAGTGTTGGCAGGTGTTTAATCCCCTGGGAATTAAATTCCTCTCAGAGGGATTCATGCACTTCCAGAGTGCAGTGCAGGCACTGGTTCTTTCTCCTGGCAGCAGGAGAAAAGGTTCTTTTCTACCTGGCAGGTAGGTGCATCCCAAGCAGGATGTATCCCTAAAACATCCATCAGGTCCAGGGTGCTTGGGAGTGCTGGAGGGATGGACTCCAGGAAAACCACCCTGACATGGATCATTAACTGCTCCCTGCAGAGCAGCAGCACCATTTGTTTGTTCTCCAGGGCAAATATTTCAGTTACAATGACTAAAAAACTGCCTCAGCTTAAGACTCATCGTTTGTGTTTACTTTGTGAGTCCATGTCCCTGCAAGCTTCTACATCCCAAAGTTTTCCAGGGTGTGGGATCTCCCAGTACCTGGTTGTGRGCATTTTGGGGCATTTTCTCCAGCCCTTTGCCCTCTGCTCTGCCTCAGCTGAGGGACTGACATGGGCACCACGGGCACCAGCTGGCTYTGGGGATTTTTGGAGCCATCCTCACCCACTGGATCTGATTTTCAGCTCTCACCAGTGCYCACCCAGCCTGACCCACTCTCTTAGGAAGAATGAAGGGAAAAAACACCCAAAGTGGCTTCCCCAGGAGGCAACTGGGGTGGTCTCTGCTGCATTTTGAGGCTCTGCTGTGCTCTGTGTCTCTGACTGTGCTTCTCTGAGCAGTCTGCAAGCCTCAGACCRGTTGGAACTTGCAGCTTGAGGCAGCAGGAAGAGAGCTGAGCTATTGGAACGCAAGAAAGGGCTGCAGACATCCCAGGCTTGCAAATTCAATGGTTAAAAATGCTGAAAAGCAGATACAAGRCAAAAAGAGAAGCCATGTGCCACATTGCTCCTGTTCTCGTAGAATTGTTGGGTTTTTTGTATTCCAAATCCCTGCAGGAATGGTTCTGTGATGTTCTGTTTCCAAACATTTGAACATTGAGACATTCAATGTCTAGAAAAACCTGGAGATTTTGCCTGTGGAGTGCATGACAAAAAATTATTGGGAAATGCATGAAGAAAACAAGGGAGAAATAAACGTTGTGTAAGTGTGAGACTCTGAACACAGCAGCATCTCCAGCAGAGTCCCTGACCCTGTGCTGTTCCTTGTCCCTGTCCCTCTCCCATGCTGTTCCTCACGTCCTGCCCTCGCCCCTTGTGTCCTGCTGAGCACTTGGGCTCAGATAAGGCCAATTAACTCCTTGGAATTCCATTTATAAAYGACTTCCCTTGGAAAGGAATCTCCAGCTAATTTTAAATGTTGTCTTATCTGTGTTTTCTGAGGCAGTCGGGGAGGGGTTGTTACTTTTTGGGYTGTTTTTTAACTGAGTAACATTTCCTGAGGTGGTGTCAGTGAGGTGCAGCCTGGACAGGAGATTTTGGTTTCATTTTTGCATGGAAGTGGCACAGTGGATGGGGCCACTGGGTGGAAGGATTGTCAAATTGACTCATCATCGGCCTCTGCACATCACTGTGGGTTATCAGCAGTTTAGATTATCTCTCCCTGTCCCTCCCCACATCATCACACCATCATAGTTTTCYACCAGATTGCAGAATTTTGGCTTTTGAGCAGTTAGAGCAGTCACTGAGCTGCAGTGATGGAACATCACAGAGTGGCTGTGCAGCCATCTCAGACCCACAGCCCACTGCTGGGTTATCAGGAGTGTAGTTTTTCCCAGAACTTTCATCCCAAAGATCCAGGCAGAGCAGGAACATCAATCTCTCACAGTTCTGATACATGAGACATCCCAGGAGTGAAGCTGGATACATCCTTTGGGACACCCACCTGTGGATCCCAGGTACAGGATCCCAGCCTTTTGCTTTGTCCTCTTTAAAAATAAACATTCCCAGCTCACTGAGAATCCAGGTGTCAGCACTGAGCTTTGGGATCAAAGTGGAAAGGGCTGGATGCAGAGCTGCCCCTATGTRCCTGTTGCCCCAAGGAATGGAGCTGGATCTGATATTTTGGCTCTGTTTATCASTCAGGAATGGGCAAACAGGGAGGAGCTGCCACCCTGTGAAATATTTGCAGGAGCAGCAGACAAAACAGCTTYGATTGTAATGAAGCTGTGAAATAACCTTTTAAAAATAGTCCCTGTCATACATTGTGTTTTCTGTCATCCATCTCACACATTCCCAGTGTTTTTTAAGGCTGGGAAGCACAGCCTGTGACTGGAATTTGTGAGCTGCTGATGCAGTTTTTTTGTAGCTCAGAACCCAGGGAAGGGTTTTACTCATAGAGGGTTTGGCTTGGCAGCCACGTGGGGCTGATTCCCTTTCCAGAGAAGTCATGGCAAGGTGGGACAAAACGGAGAAAAATGCAGAGAGGGAAAAAGTGATTGTGCAATTGTCAGWCTCTCTCCTGTTCCCAGCCCTGTATTCCTCTTCTCTGGATGTCCTTAGCACAGAGGGAAGAGAAAATCAAACCAGGAGGTGAGGTGARGGCAGGAATTGTACAGGTGATGATCCATCTCCCACTGCAGCTGCTGGTCCCACCTGCTTTGGCCCTCGCAGCACATTCTCACCTATGTGGGTGGTTTTTGAACACTCTGAACAGCCAARGTTCCTGTTGCTTCCTCTGCAATTCCCTGAGTGCCAGAGCTGGGTCAGGACAGCAGAGGTTTGTGCTTTGGGGATTGAGTGATGCAAACCCAGCCCTGCATTTGTTCCYTTGCTGCTGGAGCTGTGAGAGCACATCCTGCCCTTCCAGCAGCTCCGAGCCTTTCTCCTGTCCGAGCCCAAACTGAGCTTGGATTTGTAGGTGGGGATGTTTCACCTGCTCTCCAGATTTGCTGGCACTGAAAACAGTTCTTCTGTCCAGCTTCCTTCTGGTAATTCTGACTCAGGCTTCCAGGAATGGAGGGTGGGTTTTTTTTCTTTCTTCTTCTTTTTTTTTATTTTTTTTTCAATTTTATTTAAAAATAGGAGTGTTTATGCCTAAGAACTTCCCATCTTTCTCTGCTGCTGGTGGAGCACGGGTCTGTTGTTGAGCCTGGAGCTCTGCACAGGCTGTGAACTTGGAGTGGTGCTGCTGTTGGATTTGCTGATGGCTTTGGATGCCACACGAGCTGCTGGCCTGACCTTGCTCTCTGTCGGGAAATTCCAGGGTCAATTTGTTTGTGTGGGAGCAGACACAGGATCTCCTCAKCCCCGAGTGTCTTGGGAGCTCTCTCCTGCATGGTCCAGGGATCACAGAGTCCGAGGATCATCAATGATGCATTTCCATGTTTGCCCTTCCTCACCTGCACCTTTTGTGTTGCAGCTGTTCTCCCACAGCACATCGTTCCCTGGCCTGAACAGCTCTGGTGACCACGTTCTTGATGTCCCCAACACCCCTCTCCTCATCAGCTACCAGGTGAGAGCCTCAGTGGGACACTCTGGTGACATCCCAGTGCCGGGAATAGCAGTTCTGACCTTTTTCCCTTTCTGAGACAAGAAACTCAGACACCAAGAAACTCAGACACACTTTCCCAGCAGTGTGTTTTATTTCCCAGAGGGAAAATGTGTTAAGGGACACTTTGGGCTCTCAGGACTTTGCTGTGGTGTAAAGTTGGGTCAGGGCAGGTGAGGGCACAACTGGGCAGGATTCACAGGACCCCACAGCCCATCCCAAAAGTGGTGCAAACATCTTTGCCCAGTTTGGTGAGGACCAGGCAATGAGATGCTCTTACAGCCCCTGGGGTGGGCTCCCACTGATGGCTTTCCTTAGCCTGGGAATGAGATGGATTGTGGTTTTGGGGGGTTTGTGGCTTTGGGGGATGGTTTCAGTGACAGTTTGTGACAGGGCACAGCACCACACGTGTCTGTAGCTCAGCAAGAACATTAAYATTGGGTCAATGTTGCTCCTCTTCAGTCTCAGGCTCCTCCAGAGGAGGAAGATGAAGGTGAGGAGGAAGAAACAGAAGAGCTGGGGCACACAGAGACCTATGCAGAATATATCCCTTCAAAGTGTGAGTACTGCCATGGGAAGTTCCTCTAAATCCATTGTGGACCAACCTAATTTAATTGTGGGTTTGCCGTGGCACCTCCCAGGCTTGTGGTTTTCCAGGAAAACCCTACAGTGCCCGGGGCTGTGGCTGGTTGATGAGCTCTGAGGTGCCCCTGGGAGTAAAAACCTTGACTTGCCTGTGTTGTGTTGTGTTGTGTTTAGCCAAGATTGGGAAGCACCACCCTGACCTGGTGGTGGAGACGAGCACCCTGTCCAGCGTCCCCCCTCCTGACATCACCTACAGCCTTTCCCTGCCCCAYTCCGTGGCTGACAAAGGCTCCCTGTCTGCACTACAGCTGGAAGCCATCATCTACGCCTGCCAGGTACCTCAGGTGTCTCACAGCTGAAGGGACCTGCTTCTTGCAGGGATAGGTGTTCACGTGTGTTTTCAAATAACTGCGATTCGTGTGTAATTCCTTTGGCATTTTAAATGCCTTTTGARGAGTTCTGTGGCTTCTGTGGGGTCTGTTTCCCAAAGAGGCAAGAACCTTGCACTTTTCTTGCTTTAAAAAAGAAGGCTTTACATTTTGGRGGCCTTTCCCATGAACTGCCACTTGTGATCTTGGCCACAACCCCTGACCTTTCCTGCTGTCGTTTGCATGTGCATCTGTGGGATGTGTAAAAGGGTTAAGTGGTGCTCACACCAAAGCAATCAGCAAAGGCAAACCTAGTTTAATTTTCAGTTTTCTTCTTGATTTTGCAGCAACATGAAGTTTTATTGCCCAATGGGCAGCGAGCTGGGTTCCTCATTGGTGATGGTGCTGGAGTTGGAAAGGGCAGGACTGTTGCGGGCATCATCTTTGAGAATTTTCTTAAAGGGAGGAAAAAAGCTCTGTGGTAAGTCGTTGGGGTTTTTTTTCCCCTCTTTTCCCGTAAGACTTGGAGTTAGTTTGGATCTAGAAATAAGGAATTCCTTCGTGCTGATGTTGGCTGTAGAGTTGAGTCATGCTGTGGCCTTGGGTAAGTCATTTCCACCTCTCAGTGCCTGACTGCTGCCTGTGAGATGGGAATATTCCCCCTGCAGCAGTGATGGAGAATGAGTCACTGTGAAATAGCAGGTTTTRTGCTCCTTGGGGTGAGATGTGGAGCCTGGCCCTGCTCTCCCTGGAGTGTTGGAGGATTGTTCCTGGGCTTCCCGGGTGCAGAGCCAGGAAAATGGGGCTTTGCTGCAGATCACAGCCTGTGCCGAGGGGCTGTTGGGTCTCACATTGGGGTGTGTGGGCAGGGGGAGATGTGACAGCTCTGCACAGCTCCTCCTGCTTTAGTCAGAGCTGTTAATCACCAGAGCTGTTAATCACCGTGTGCCCTGAGCTCCCTGGGGACATACCCAGCCCCAACTGCTGGGGAGGGGGAGATAACCACCCCAAATCTCCTTCCTTCGCAGGTTCAGCGTCTCCAACGATCTCAAGTACGATGCTGAGAGGGACCTKAAGGACATCGAGGCCTCCCACATTCCTGTGCATGCTCTGAACAAGGTAGGAGAGGAGTTTTGCCCCAGCACGTGGAGCAGCGTCACCTCTGCCCGTGCAGGACGAGGCTCAGGCAGCAGCAGAGCCTCTGTTCCCTCCTCCCAGCCASCTCTTCCCACTCAGTTTGTGTTCCCTCCTCCCAGCCAGCTCTTCCCACTCGGGGCTCCAGCTATTTTTGTTGTGGAGCTGCACAGGGAGCACAGAGCTGTTCCCTGCAGGGAGTGGGAAGTGTCTCCAGGCAAGTGCAAGTGCAGCAGAGATGGAGCTTTCTTCACCATTCCCAAGGAATCCTGTGGAGAGAACAGCTCTGTTCCCAGTGCTGGCTCATGRAATCACTTCTCAGAGTGTTTAGGGAGCACAGAGATGCCCAGACTGGTGTCTGTCATGGTCTGAGTTTGAGTCTACCCAGTGTCTCCCAGTTCACTTAAATCCTCTGCTCTGGTTTTACTGGTATTGAACAACCAGCTCTTACAAAGTCCATAGAAACCACAGGTGTCTGACACCTCTGAATGTGCTCCACTGAGAGAGTGAAARAGATTTTGTTTTCAGCCCCAAAAGATTTCAAATGGAACTTTACTCAGCTTGGGACCAGGGTTTTCCTGCCTACTTTGTATTTCATTACACGTGGGATGCACGGCAGTGAGACAGGCAACAATCTCACCTGGAGTCAAAGAGAAAACAATTTTCCAGAAGGAATTAAAACAGACAGGAGGGGTCAAAGCAATGACAGACTCCAAAGCGTTGTTTAAAAAAAAAAAAAGGAAGCTTTCTTTTGCCAGAAAATTGATGTCCCCACGGTTCACCACAGGCTTCCAGATGTGCTGACACATTGGCTGGGGCACTTCTCCAGGCATTTGCAGTCCCTGTCATCACCATGTCTCAGTGCCAAACACAAATGCTGAAGACATCAGCCACCAGCAGCTTTTTGCCTGTTCTGAGCTCYGGCTGGGATTTGTTTTTGGGAGCGGGGATTTGCGTCCAGCACGGCCGTGGGCACTCGGTGGCACTGAGTGTGGGCAGGGATGAGTGTGACATGTTGGGGACAGTGATCACAGTGTGTGTGTGTGCTCCTGCCCCTTTTCCTGCAGATTAAATACGGTGACACAGCTACCTCAGAAGGAGTCCTCTTCGCCACCTACTCGGCGCTGATCGGYGAAAGCCAGGCCGGGGGACAGCACAGGACACGCTTAAAACAGATTTTGGAGTGGTGCAGGGAAAACTTTGAGGGAGTTGTATCCTTAAAAGAAAAACCAAAATGACCAAAAAGTTGAGAAATAGAGAGAGAGAGAGAGGAACTGCTGCTTGTGATTGTGCTTCAGCGAGGAACAAAGAGCTTGGGGCTGTGTGAAGTCACAGGGAGCAGCCTGTGCCTGACTCCAGTGCCTGCAGGAGACAGGAATCCCCCACACTCTGATCTCCTCCTCCTCCTCCTCCTCCCAGGATGCAGTTAAGAGGAGGAGGGGAAGAAGAAGCAGCTGGGATTAACCTTTTCAGCATTCCTCTCTGTCGGTATTACAAGACAAGACACACCTTGGAGGTGAAGGGAGAGGGAGGGGTGGATGACTTCGGGTCTGAAGAGCACAGGGCTGGGCAAACGCAGYAGATTCCATGTGTGAGCCATGAGTCAGTCCTGTCGATACTGGGAYGGGTTGTTCAGTATCAGAGTGGGCTGTATTTTCTGTCCTCTCCCATGCCTGGGATGAAATAAATCCTTTCTCCTTAACCRACACTCCCCTCCAGATTGTGTTTGATGAATGCCACAAAGCCAAAAACGCCAACTCTACCAAAATGGGCAAAGCAGTGCTGGACCTGCAGAACAAACTGCCTCGAGCAAGGGTTGTCTATGCCAGTGCCACAGGTGAGCTGCTCTGTGAGAGTGGCAGGTCCCCTGTGACCTGATGGGACACCCCGAGGTGTGAGATCCAGTGGTGCTGCCAGGCTAGAGAGGAGCTCAGATCTGTCCCAAACCCCATCACTGATGTTACTTGTGACTTTTTGGCAGGTCAGATTAATTTYTCTCCAGTTTAACTTGTTCCTGGCYRGCTGTTCCAGCTGTTTGGTGCTGTCTTGGTGATGTTTGCCCACTCAGTGTAGGGAGGGAAAAGCTCTCCAAAAGCACAATGACAACTTTTTCAGTGTTCTCTTTGCTTGAGTCACAACGATTCCCAAGTGCTGGGGGTTTGCTGACAGTGAATCCTGTCCCAACAGGTGCCTCAGAGCCAAAAAACATGATTTACATGAGCCGCCTGGGGATCTGGGGGGAGGGCACCCCGTTCCGAGCCTTCGATGACTTCCTGAGYGCAATTGAGAAGAGGTGAGTGTGGGCAGTGTGAGCCTGGGGAGGGGCTGGTTCTGCAGGGACACCTGCCTGGTGCTGCCCTRGGGCAGAGGGAGGGTCCCACAGCTGGAGCTCACAGCTGGAGTTTCAGAGCTGGGGTTCACTGGTGGGGTTTCAGAACTGGAATTTCAAAGCTGGGGTTCACAGGTGGGTTTTCAGAGCTGGGGTTCCACAGCTGAGGTTCAGAGCTGGAGTTTTAGAGCTGGGTTTAACATTTGGGGTCCTACAGGTGGGGGTTTCACAGCTGGAGTTCACAACTGGGGTTCCACAGCTGGGGTTTCAAAGCTGGGGTTTACAAAATTGGGGTTTCAGAGCTGGGGTTCAGAGGTGGGGTTTACAATTGGGGTTTCAGAGCTGGGGTTTACAGCTGGGGTTCCAAAGTTGGGATTTCAAAGCTGGGATTCAGAACTGGGGCTTAAAGTTCAGATTCTATAGCTGAGGTTCATATCTGGGATTTCAGAGCTGGGATTCCAAAGCTGAGGTTCAGAACTGGGGCTCAGAGCTGGGATTCCACAGCTGAAATTTAGAGCTGGGATTTCACAGCTGGAGTTTCAGAGCTGGAATTCAGAACTGGGGCTTAAAGTTCAGATTCTATAGCTGAGGTTCATATCTGTGATTTCACAGCTGGGGTTCAAAACTGGGGCTCAAAGCTCGGATTCCACAGCTGAGGTTCATACCTGGGATTTCACAGCTGGGGTTTCAGAGCTGGGGTTCAGAACTGGGGTTACAGAGCTGGGATTCAGAGCTGGGATTTCACAACTGGGGTTATAAAGCTGGGGTTCAGAGCTGGGATTTCACAGCTGGGGTTATAAAGCTGAGGTTCAGAGCTGGGATTTCACAACTGGGACTCACAGCTGGGGACCAGAGCTGGGTCCAACAAGTGTTGTCCTCTCACAGGGGAGTGGGTGCAATGGAGATCGTGGCCATGGACATGAAGGTCAGTGGGATGTACATCGCCCGGCAGCTCAGCTTCACTGGGGTGACCTTCAGGATCGAGGAGATCCCTCTGGATGAGAAGTACAAGGCTGTCTACGACAGGGCAGCCAAGCTGGTGAGCTGGGTCCCTTGTGGAGAGAGGCTGAGCTCTGGTTTTGGGCACAGCCACTGATTTTTGGGAGGGTTTGGGGACCCTAAATGCGGCCATGGCCTCAAACATAAGAAGGAAAAGTAGTACCCAGTGTTGAGCTGATGTAAAAGGAAACTTTCACTTTTTTTGCTTGTGTTTGAAAGTTCCACATTTGCAAACCAGAGCTGCATCGTGCTGCTGGAGAGAATGACCAGTGCTCATTCATCCTGATGCACGCTGATCCTAAATCARATTATCAACCCCCAGACTGTTCTAATCACCTCCTGCACGGCAGGAATGACAATGGAAAATTATATTAACGATATTAATATTAATGATCTTCTTCTTGCTATCATCTGCAGTGGGCAGAGGCCTTGATGGTGTTCCAGCAGGCAGCTGACTGCGTGGGGCTGGAATCACGGAAATCTCTGTGGGGTCAGTTTTGGTCGGCTCACCAGCGTTTCTTCAAATACCTCTGCATCGCTGCCAAGGTGCGGCGCCTYGTGCAGCTGGCCCAGGAGGAGCTGGCCAGGAACAAGGTATGGCAGCAGCACCCACCATCCTGACCTGGGCTCTTGTGTCATCTGCAACCAAAGGGAGTTCATCATTGCTTATCTCGGCAGCCCGTCCAAACCTTTTTAAGTTTAATTTCTCTCCAGAGTGAAGTGCAGCAAGCTCTGAGCCCCAGTTCTGAACCCCAGCTGTGAAATCCCAGATATGAACCTCAGCTATGGGTTTCTGATATTCTGAATATTTTCAGAGAATGATGCTGGGGAGTTAAGGTGGTCTCGTCTCCTGTTTGTATGAGCAGGCTGGGCTGGGAGGGGATTCTGGCTCGTGTTCAAGGCCAGGTTGGATGGGGCACGAAGCCACCTGAGCTGGTGAATGTGTCCCTGTCTATTGTGGAGCTTTGGAACAAGATGAACTTCAAGGTTCTTCCAACCCAAACAACTTTTGGTAGAATTCTGTGATTCTACAAATACGTTTTGTAGAATTCTGTGATTCTACAGTTTTAGAAGAGGTACCAAACCTTTCACCTCAAATACAGCTCTGTCCTTTCTTCACCTTGGAAAATTTAGGTAGAAGCTCCCTGGCACAATCAGTGAGGTCTGTGCTCAGAGTCACCTCAGTGGGGTTGGGTGCTGAAAGATTTAAAAGATAATTCTTTCTCAGGAGCTTTGCCATGGGCCCAGCACAAATTTACCTGACCCAGGGGTCAAGGGCCTGGGAAATGCCTCGAGCCTGTGGCAGTGCAGTGCCCTGACACCTCAATGTGCCATCCTTCATGTCCCACATCCCTCGTGTCCCCACAGTGCATCGTCATCGGYCTGCAGTCCACGGGAGAGGCTCGCACCAGGGAGGTCCTGGATGAGAACGATGGGCATCTCAACTGCTTTGTCTCTGCTGCAGAGTGAGTTTAAAATCTCTGTTTTCCTTTGGGAGGGGTGTGTGGGAGGCTGGAGGAGTGGGAGGAGCACTGGGACATGAAACACTGGCAGGTCTTGAAATGCAGTTTTGATGGTCTTGAAATGCAGTTTTGATGGTCTTGAAATGCAGTTTGATGGTCTTGAAGTGCAGTTTGATGGTCTTGAAATGCAGTTTGATGGTCTTGAAGTGCAGTTTGATGGTCTTGAAGTGCAGTTTGAGTCCACCTCCCCATGGAGGTGAGACACTCAGGTGGGTCCTTGAGGCACTGTGTCTTCAGTGGGACTGCATGAGCTGCATCTCGTGGTCCAGACTTACAGGAAAAGCCTGATCCTGCTCTTTACACACGTAAAATTGGCAGAAAGAGAGCCAGAAAGGTATCTAAGAGGTAGTTTGTGTGGGTCTGGCTCTGAAAAACGAGGCTTTTGGCACAGAAGAAAAGAGTTCCCTGTTGTGGCAGAGGCTGGGATGATGCTGTGAGGGGGCAGCAGTGGGAGGAGTGGTCTGAAAAGTTTAGATCCACCAGTGCTGGCTTTTAGCTCATAGATGAGGCAGGATCAGTGTCCTGGTTGTGTGACTGTCATTCCCAGCTGACAGGAGATCTGGCTGTGGCAGGAACCAGCCAGGAGCAGGATTTGTACTCATTCAGCACAGAGTGAGGCTCCTGCTCCCCTTCCTTTCTGCACCTTCCAAAATGGGGCTGTTCCTGCATGACAGGAGGCAAAAACCTGGCACGTGGGTTGTGTTTCKGCAGAGCTGTTTTCTTCTGAAGTGACTTCTGCTGCAGGTGGGAGCAGTGAGAGATGCCCGAGGCAGTGCAAGGCTGGGTTAGGCTGAGCTTTCCTCCCCCTTTGGTGGGGGTTTGGGTTGAGCTGTGTCACTCCTCTGCCTCCAGCCCATTCCTGAAAACCAAATCCAGTTTGGTGACAGTGCACAGGGCAGGTCTGGCAGCTCCTTGGTCCCATGGAATTGGTTTCCATGTCACAGAAAATCCACTCCAGAGGATGGTGTGACCCCTGGCTGAGCAATGCAGGAGGAGGGGTCTGTCAGGGGTCCCACTCTGTGACTGTCACCACTCCCAGAGGAGCTCTGTGTTCGGGTCACCGAGTGTCTCCTGGCATCTGCTCAGCCTCCAAATGTGTGTCCTGGTGTTCCAGCACTTCGGGGGATTTCTGGAGGGCAGTATGCTGGGAAGGAGCGGTTTAAAGATGCCGAGAAATGGGGTTAAAAATAAACACAGTCCTGTGAGTGGATTCCAGCCCAGGGCTCTGTTTGCAGGGAGGGCGAGTGCGGGAAATGAGTGGAATTTCACAGCCKGGAGGCTCCAGAGTGAGTGGTCATTGGGTCACCCCAGCACAAGGGACAAGGGGCCATTCTTGGTGTCACAGAACTGTGGTCACAGAGCTCTGTCCCTTTGGRGCTGTGGTCCTTGTCCCCTTCAGCCCCTCACACCGAGGGTCCTGGAGCTCCCTCCCCACTTCCCAAGTCTCCCTTTTCTCACCCAGAGGAGTCKTCATGTCCATCTTCTCACCTGCTGCTTGCAATGTTTGGGTTTTGGGGTGTTTTTTGTTGCTTTTTTTCCAAGCAGAGCTCAATCAGCACCACTCAGTTGCTCTGGGGGTTCATCCGCACAGTCAGCATTTAAACATTTGCTCTTTGATTCACAGAAAAGCCCGCAGAAACCTTTGGTTTTCACCTTTTCTGATTTTTTTTCTCTTCCATTCACTCAAAACCACTACAGATCCATGGTCTGTCCCTTGGTTTTTGTGGGAAGCAGGCCCAWGGCTGAGGAGTTGGAGGATTTGGTGGAGCACATTTGTTGGATGGGCATGGAGAGGGGCTGGGACACTGGGCCTTACTGGATTTTTGGTGAAACAGCTTCCCAAAGTCGTGTTTCCCATTAAAAACTCCCTCTTGGTTGCTTTTAAATGACCTGGAGATCCAAAAGCCACTCTCTACCAAGGSCTGGTTGAGCCTGAGGCATGGATGGGGTAGATTGAGCTCCCTTCCATGGAATGTGGGGCTGTCCCAAACACACATTGCTATGTGATAACTGGCACATATTCCTGGCAGCTGGAATAAATTTTTGCATCTTACTTGCAGAGGCGTCTTTCTGTCACTAATTCAGAAGCACTTTCCTTCAACCAAAAGAAAGAGAGAAAAAGGACCTGTCAAAAGAAAACGTAAGAGCTCCCTCACTCCTAGCCCAGCCCCTGCCTCCTGYCCTGCTGCTCCCTCCCAGCCACTCAGCTTCTCTGCCTTTTGTCCTTTTCCCCACTTCATGCTTTTTGCTGCTCTCTGTGGTTTTGGTTTGCCTTCCTGCACATCTCCCATTGCTCCTTCATCCAGAGCACAGCAGTTCTGGGTCATCCCCCCTTTTCCTCCCCTGCCCCTTCCCCTCGACCCACGCTGGGGGCAGATGGCACAAGGCCTGGTTGGTGTCTGAGCCCCTCCTGCAGCAAGAGAGGTTCTCCACAACCCCTTACCTAAAGTTTCCTCAGGGGAAAAATCACTTCCCTACCTAATTATTTGTTGTGGCTGYGAGTAAGRAGAGTTTTGRGRTTTCTCCTCCAGTGGRATGKGGGAGAGGGGRAGGAGGGGGCAGCAGCACTGGMAGGTTTGGGAGCTGATCYGTGAATCCTCTCAYGCAGYGAGGGCACATTGTGCTGTGCTCAGGAGCAAACAATATCCCAAACAGCAGCACCTTCCCGTGTGCTGCACATTCCTCTGGAGGCAATGCCCTGGGAATCCTTCCCTGAGGAGCTGGCACTGCTTAGAGCCAGCCACATCTCCATCCTGATGTGTGCAGCCAGCTCCAGCCCTGCTCAGAAGCGCCTCGTTCTTCCTTTCTCTCTCTTCCTTTCTCTCTCTCCCTTTCTCTTTCCTGCTCTGCCTCCCTCCCTAACTGCCACCCCATCTCAGAGGCTCTGTTTTTCCAAGGCTGGCCTATCATTTGGGGCAGTCTGAGCTGTTTTGGGGTTTCTCCTCCTGTCTCTGAGCTGTCCCTCTGTGTCCTGCCCTGCTGCCCCACGGGGCCAGTGCAGTGACACCKCTCCCTCCTTGCAGTAGGACGGCAGAGGGGCCGCTGCCCCAAAGTTCTGCGGGGCCCCTATGACCAATCAGTTGTCATCAAGATCAGCGATGACAGCAGCACCGACTCTGACATGGGGCTGGACAGCGACTTCACCTCATCCCCGGAGTCCCTGTTGGGGACAGACGATGTCATCTGTGTGGATCCCACGTCCAGCACCGGCGAGGACAGGGGTGAGTGGGGCAGTGACATGGGGACAGCTGGGGAGGGGGACAGTGGATCCTGCAGAGATTTGGGACAGCCGTGTGATCCTGGATTTTATCCTGATGGTCACACTGATCCTGGATTTTATCCTGATGGTCACACTCGGGCTCGTGGGGTGGATCCATGATCAGCGAGCTGGAAGGGTTTGCTCTGTATGCTCTTTCCCCAGGGGGAATAGTCAGCATTTACTGCAGGTCACAGTGCCTTTATCCATCAACAGCACCCCAGAAACCCTCTGGGAACAATTTTTTCCCTCTCTGTGATGTGCAGTTAGCAGGTAACACGAAACTTTTSCCTTTTACATTGCAGGTAGTTTACACGTGCTGCAAGGCATGAGAGAGCTGAAGGTTGAAAAGATGAAGCAGGACCTCCTAGCAAAAGTGAAAGCACTGGGCAAAGACCTACCTCTCAACACCTTGGATGAACTGATCGATTGCTTTGGGGGCCCAGAGAAYGTGGCTGAGGTACTTCCCACAGTTGGTGTGTTTTGGTGGCTCTGGGTGACAGGGAAAGAGGGCAGTGAAGAATCACAGAATGAATGGTTTGGGGGTGAAGGGACCTTTAAGATGGTCTCATTCCATCCCTCTGACATGGGCAGGGACACTTTCCACTCTCCCAAATTGCTTCAAGCCCATCCAGTCTTGGACACTTTCAGGGATGGGGCAGCCATGTGCCCACACAGGGAAAAATTTCTATTTAAAAATAAGAAGATTCCTGTTGGCAGAGTGTTTCCTCTCCCTGGCAATGTGGAAAAGCTGTTGGGGATGGACTGGATGGCCTCACTGGGCTGTGTGGGTCCCCCCCTGAGGCAGCCCCTCTCTCCTGTGTGCAGATGACAGGAAGGAAGGGACGGGTGGTTCGCAGACCCGACAACTCCGTCGTGTTCGAGTCCCGTGCAGAGCAAGGGCTCTCCATCGACCACGTCAACCTGAAGGAGAAGGAGCGTTTCATGCAGGGAGAAAAGGTGAGTTGGGTTGGAGCTCCAAAAAACTGCCTAGGACTGAATGAGATGTGGARGAAAGGCCAGCAGCTCTCCGTGGGTTTGACCTGCTGGAAGGTGACAAAGCTTTCCAAAGTCCCTTTTGTGGGCTGGGGCTGCTGTAATACCTGGAGCTGTTTGGTTTCACACGTGTCCAGGAGCCTCACTGCGTTGTCACTCATGTCTCCTGTAGCTCGTAGCGATAATCTCAGAAGCCTCCAGCTCAGGGATCTCCCTCCAAGCAGACAGACGGGTGAAGAACCAGAAGCGCCGGGTGCACATGACCCTGGAGCTGCCCTGGAGCGCTGACCGAGCCATTCAGCAGTTTGGTGAGGACATTGTCACCTCCTCTGAGAGTGGGATGGGCCCTGGGAGGGTCAGGTGTGGTGGCATTTAGGAGATGTCCCTGCAAGGGAGGGGACAGAGGCACAACCACAACCACAGTCCCTGGTGCCGCTGAGACTCAGCAGAGCTGGGTTTATAGAGCTCTGGGGCAAAGATGAACTCCCCAGGGTGAGCAAGGTGGGCATTACGTGGCTTTTCTGCTAGATGCAATTTTCTAAACTGTGCCACAATGAAAYCTAATAAGCATGTGTGTTTCTTCAGTCTTAGGGTTCCTTTAAAACAAATTAGYRTGGAGGTTTGTCAGACTATCAGAAGCCAAAGAGAAGGAGTGAGGGAGAAAAGCAGTTCTTCCTTTTCTGTTKCTTGTCCTCTACATGCACCAAATTATAAAGCAGAGAGATCACACCTGTGTTTTGCRTAGATACCCCTACAGCTAAGCTTGGATCAAAGGGACTTGCTAAGTTTGCAGAAAGATAYGACCTTTTTAGATTTAAGTAAAAAATATTTTGGACGAGTAAAACTCGTGTAAATGAAGCATATACTCAATGTCTTTCTAGAGAGTCTTAAAGTAAAGGACAGAAAGGAAGTAACAAATTAAAGAGTATTTGAAAAAAAACAGCCACACTTTTGAAAAAATGTGGCTTTTTACATTCCCATTCCAGACAGGCCATGCCAACCCCCCGTTCCACCCCTGTCCCCTGTCCCTGTAGGCCGAACACACCGATCCAACCAGGTCTCTGCTCCCGAGTACGTGTTCCTCATCTCAGAGCTGGCAGGGGAGAGGAGGTTTGCATCCATCGTGGCCAAACGCCTGGAGAGCCTGGTGAGTGCCCACTGCAGAGATCCCCTGTGATCCCAGAGATGTCCCATGATCCCAACAGGGCTCTGGTTCCCTCTGAGGAGCTCCCACCACTGTAATTGRGGGGATTGTGTCACCATTTATGGAATTCAGAAGGCTTTTAGCATCCTTCTAAAATGCTAAAAGAAGCATTTTCTTTTAGTGAAAGGAAGTGAAAGGAAGGATATGTAACCGAGTTGTTGGAAGGGATTTCAGGGAAGCAAGAACCCACTTCCAGATGCTGGAATTCCCCCACTGTAACTGGAGCATTCACCCATATGATTCCCAAAAAGCTGACGAAATAATTGACAGAATAATCAGTTTGCCTCTGTTTCGTTTTCTTCACTTCTGATAAATCCCCGAATCCTTCGGTCAAGTCTCAGTATTCCAGAGGAACACTGCCTCCCTATGGCACATTTCTGGACTTGCTTTTTCCCATCCCTCCCTGGTGTTTTGCAACAGCTCYGAGTAAGAATCTTTTGCTTCTCTGCCTTCCCAGGGTGCCTTAACTCACGGGGACCGACGGGCCACCGAGTCCCGGGACCTCAGCAAGTACAACTTCGAGAACAAGGTGACAGGGAAGGGACAGCGTGGCTGAGAGGGGGTTGGAGGAGCTGGGAGAGGGAGCTGGAATCAGAGCCAGGAGGATCATTGCTGGCATCTGCAGGCAGAGCCCAGTCTAGCACCCAGCCTAGCACCCAGCCTAGCACCCAGCCCGGGCTGCCACGGGCTCAGTCATGGTCAGATTGAGACTCTGCTCCCACCAGGGGCTGGGAAAGGGGAGCTGGGGAGGGCACCCCACCCTCTGCCCCCAGGGAGGGGTCTGTTCTGTTCCCCTGGTGGCACAGGAGGCACTGACACAGCGTCCCCTTGCCTTGTTCATGGCCTTCCTGGGGTGACAGCATTCTCTGTAGTGCTCAG